AACAGGGGGATGTCCTTGTCCTTTTTCCTTTTCTTCATTTCAAGCGATAAAAACTCTCGATCTTCTCTCGAATTATTAATATTTTTGGACGCCCTCGGCTCGCGTTCAGGGCGTCCCGAGCTGAATAAGGGCGTAAGATGACGGCAAGACGGCCCCCTAGCGGAATCACCATTTAATCCAATCAGGACTTCCAAGAGACATTATTTATTATATATATATATATTATTATTTATTATTATTATTATTATTATTATTATATAAAGAACAACCTTAATGATCTGCAAGCTTAAAAGATACAAGTTTCGAGAATCAAAGCAAAGTATTTTTCAACTTACAAAGAAAAATCTGAAGTAAAACCTAACCTTGAATGTATCAAACATCTATTCAACTAACCACTTCATATTCCAGGGTAAGAAAGATGATACCCTTTGAATTACTTTAGATACATGTTCAAGTGCTCTCACTAACTCTATTCTTTATGTGGCTGTGTCCGTCCTTTACACTCGAGATATATTACGTGCATGCAAATATGAACATTTGCATGAATGCAGCTCTAAAGCTCTGATGAATCTGCTTCAGCTGATCTGTCTCAGCATCAGTCACAGGGCAGTGAAGGTCACATGAGCCACAACCATGATTCACACACGCCTCCTTCGTCTCACAAAGCTACAACTGGTTAGACAAATTCAACCTTCTGGACATTTACTGCCTCTTACTTCACCTCCAATGACCTTGCTATGCACCCATTCACTCAGCCATTCACTCAGTCATTTCTAAAGGCTGTGGCTTTGTGTCATCAGCAGTAATCAACGGTGGACTGTCAGTGACAATGGAGCTGTGTCATGTTCTGCATTCAGCCCCACTGACTGTTGCACACTGAAGCTTTGGTGTGCTCTGCTCCCACTGTGAGAGTGTGAGAGTGTGAGGGTGTGTGTGTGTGTGTGTGTGTGTGTGTGTGTGTTTGAATCTTAACCTGCCATCAGTATCATTCTAGTGTGTTCCTCCTGCCAGCTGCTTTCACAACCAGGCAGCATGAGGACAGGAGACAGGAGACAGGAGGTGTTAGAAGTCTCCTTCTATTAGCAGTAACCTTTAAAAATGTCAATCAGATATCAGCTTTTGTATGGAACTCAAAATATGTTTTATTTAAGCCACCCTGTATTACCAGTTAATACGATTGTATGCAGTATTAAGTTGGCTCTATAAGGAAAATGTGACATAAAATAAAATCAGTGTTATAAAAACCAAATTGAATTATTTGGTTTATGTGATACTTGTGATGGGATCAAACTCTGTAGATATAAACATCTTTCACTTTCATCATGTATATTTTCTGTTGAATACCCCCCCACCCGCCCCTTTTTTTAATAAAACAGAACCATGGTCGATTGAAGTACAACAAGGCTATATATGCAGGAATCCTGAAGTCAAATGTAAAACCTTTTAAGACCTTTTTTAAGACCCTTCCCATACATTTTAAGATCTCATCGCCACTTTGAGTTCTACACACTACACACCTACGCAATGATTACATTCAGGCAGACTGTAGAATACAACCTCTTTGGACAATTTATATACTTATTGAAAACAAGCTACAAAATGTAATACATTGGAAAATGCCGTTTAATACTTTTTAATAGCCTTCATTTTTGCTAAATTGATTTATCAACTTTTAATAGTTTTTAAGACCCAGCGGACACCCTGTGTAATTTAAAACTAGAAGGTACAATCGTGGACTAAGGGGGAACATTTGAGTTCTCTAACCTTAACCAACAGTTACTCCTGAAGGGCTCTTGAGAGAAGCTCTGGACCCCTTCAGCTCCATCAGACCTGCTCGGTGATTAAATAAGAGCTGGCTGTGTTTGTACGAGCGTCTCCGCCTGTAAACACGAGCTACTCTGAATGCTGAGTGAGGAACAGCTGCCGAGGATCCTTCACTTCGTTTGTTCTCTCAGACAAAAATGGTATCCAGATCCATTATTCTCTTTATTCATTGTATTTATAGCATCATCAAATGTGCTTTTATATCTGGTGTTGCTCAGACTTGCTCCACTGGGCTCTGCTAGAGAACTGCCCAGAGAATGAGGATGTTTTCTATTTACAAATAATTAGCTGTCCTTTGTGACCAAGTCATTTAATATTCTGGTGTACACATGATCAACAAATATTTCCTAAGCTGTCGTCTGTCTATGTGAGCCAGCTGTCTGATGGTTGAAGCAGAAGCTGGGTTTCCCCCGGTCTCATGCAGCCTGAGAGGAAACTGCCTCAGGGAATTACATTTAAGAACAATTTAAAGTGCATTTTCTTCTGCTGTCCAGATCTGTTTGACGTTAACGAGCGAGGACTGGTAAAGAATACAAATTTAAAAAACGTTTTAAGACTTTACGAAGCCATCCCATTTGCCCATATCCTGGCATTTGTATGACTTTTGAAGGATTGAGCAGGTGGTTTTAATACAAATGATAGCCGTTTTTTCATATTATTGATTACAATGCCTTTTAAGACGGAGTTGACTCTGCCAGGCTTACGCATATTTTTTAAAATGCAATTTTAATCTGTTTAATAAACTAAACCAGGTAAGCTGTGTGTGTTTAAACTAGCAAGAGAGAAAAGAGAGAGTGTGTTCATACAAAATAAGTAACTGGATTTACAAAACTGCTGATCTGTGACCACGACCTGCAAATCATCTTTGTTCACGGCACAGGACGGTTCCTCAACCACTGTTCATCTGAGCGACTGCACACTTGGCAGGCATGATGTAGTTTTAATACAAATGATAGTCTTTTATTCATATTATTGAATGCAATGCCTTCTCCAGACTGAGTTGACTCTCTGCCAGGCTTACGCATATTTTTTAAATGCAATTTTAAGATGTTTAATAAACTAAACCAGGTAAGCTGTGTGTTTAAACTAGCAAGTGCAACTAAGGGAGAAAAGAGAGAGTGGGGATGTTTCTCAATGTCGAGGAAGGCTGCTCCAGAGCCACTATTCCAAGCATCGAGTGCCGCCGAAGGACTGTTCCAATGTCCAGCATACTTGGAATTCTACCGAGCCCGGCGTACTTCGTTTGGAAAAATTTCGAGGCTGCACATGTGTAGACTCTGCGGTCTTAAAATCCCCACAATGCTTTGCGGACGGACCAATTTCCCCAAATCTGTAGCGGAAAATGTAAGGCGGGGCCTCTCATATGACGCACACCTGCAGACTTGCTCGCCTGTTCCACTCTTCGTTTTCCGAATGCCAGGAAATATTCTTGCCTAACTTCTGAAGGAAGTGACTCGGAAGACATGTGCTACCAAGCAAGCGTGCTCGAGATTGAGAAACACCCTGTGTGTTCATACAAAATTAGTTACAATGAATTTAATAAAATGCTAATCTGCATCAACTGTTCATCTGAGCGACTGCACACTTTGCACACTTATTGCTCAGTTAGCAAGCGCAGTGTCGAACGCAAACATTTTTGCACGAGTGGTTATCGCCTCCTGAAGCCGAGCAATAAGTGCATCTTCCACTGCAAATGTTAACCAACAAGCATCTCCTACGCTAGTCCACCTACCTCCAGTGACCTCACACATGGGAGTGATGGGGGAGTCGTCGGGCGGGACCCCCCCCTGTGGCTCGGGCTCCACTGAGGCGTGGCCGGGGATCCTCAGCACCAGAGCGAACAGACGCTGGTCCCAGCGGAACGGCTCCTTGGTCAGCTCACTTCCTGGGAGGGGGGTGGTGAGGGGCAGGTGGAGCTGGAGGAGGAAGGAGAATGTGGATTAAAGTATATATCTAATATGTGTATATATAACTATAGAGAGGCGAAGTCCCTCCCTTTCCTCCATGGGACCTTATTTCGGAAAAAGTATGTATTGAAGTCAATGGAGAGAGAAACATTATCTTTCGATCCCGTTTGAATTGTGCCACGAATTACACATATGATGTTTGTCAATTTAAAAGATAATATTGCAAGTAAAAAAAAAAAAATGTGTCGTAAAACTGTGAAGTAACACATTTGTTCGTGTGAAACGCTCAATGAACTACATCTCCCATCTCGCACCACACACCAAGACACCCGTCACGTTGGCACATTTCACTTCTTGTTTCAGAATGAGGTGAAAAGTATTAAAAGAGGTGAAAATCACTCCAAGTCTGGGCATGTTGAGAGCTGTACATACACACAAGGGGAGTTAGTCGGTTCCGTAAGAGCCAGCATGCGGGACCGGGATTCTGGGATTTGTAGTCTTTCTAGTTGCGTATTTTTCATAGTCTTATATTTCAACAGTTTTACGACAAACTGACTTTTTTGACATGGAAATGATTTTGTAAGATTGAGAAACATCATATGTGTAATTCGTGGCACAATTCAAACGGGATCGAAACATAAGTTCTCTCTCTCCATTGACTTCAATACATAATGTTTCAGAAATAAGGTCCAATGGGTCGGAAGTAGATGGGCGTGACTTCGCCTCTCAATATATCTGGAACTCCCTCCCACCTGACATCCGCAAAACACTGACTCTCTCCCCATCTTCAAATCACGTCTCAAAACACATCTCTTCACACTCGCATATCCACCGTGATCATTATCCATCACACATCCTCTGTTTTATTTATTTGATTTGTTATATACTGCATTGTCTTGTTTATGTTTCTTATGCTGGTGTTATATATTGTTTGTTTTTGTGTGTTTGTACGGCGACCTTGAGAGCCTTGAAAGGCGCTTATATAAAATAAATGAATTATCATTATAACCCAAATATGTATATATAATATAGCAATATTTCTTTTTACGTTCGTCTTTTTGATTTCTTAATCGTTTAACTTTTATTAGAATTATGGCATTTGTATTACAATTATCTTTTTATTTCTGTTGTACCTATATGTTCACTTTGTTTTATATTGTATATTGTTGCATCGACTCAGTTGTCTTGTCTCTTATCGGTCAGAGAGAAACCATTATTTATTTGATTTGTATTATCATACCTTTTCCCTCCTTGTGTCTCTTACCCTGATAACATGTTATATTTCACTGCATGCACAGGTCTGTAAAGTCTTGTGATGTGTCATTTTGTAAAGCACTTTATTATTATTATTATATGTTCATTTTAAAGTAACTTAACTGCATATAATTTTATTTTTATCTTTGATTTGATCTTTAATTGTATTCATCTCTAATCCGTGTGAATCTGTTCTGTCCTGTTTTTCATCCTTACCCTGTTGCAAATGTGAGGAACTTGGAAGTGTGTATACAGTTTTGGTTACAGTTGTAATGAATCTTAAACACAGATGTATACATATGTGCACAAAGCAGAGTAAGGTCGCTCAGTGTGACAATGAAACATGACTAAATATAGCGTGGCGCATGCCGAGAGAATAAAATATGATCTGCACATACACGTTACTATTTACAATGAGGTGGCTCTCCCTTTATTAACACCGGCTTGTTTTGACTGAACATGCTTTTTAGAGCTATTGTTCTTGCAGGACTCTTGCTGGTTGTGTCTTCATGGTTGATTGCACTTATTTAAAGCCTAATTGGATCAATTGTCGGCCAAATTAAATGTAATTTTAACGAAATAGAGAATCAATGAGGCATCAGCTTTTGGTAACTGCAACTGAACAGATGGTTGCCATTTTTAGCCATCTTATAATATGACTAGATAAGATACTTAGATTATTTAAGATGTGTTTATTATGGGCTGCATGTTTTACAAAGTTAAAAGTGGTTAAGGGGGGCAGTTACTTCGATATAAAATAATATGTATGTGATGTAACTAAAGCTATGAAACGCTGACTCATACAATCCAAAACAAAAGTTGCCGCTGAAGGAAACCTGGCAACTGTTGATGAGCAGGATGTGTTTGGGGAATATTGACGAGTCCTAGCGCGTGTCCTTACTTATTAGGTATTTAATTAGCTAAGAAACAGATCCTCCCATCTGATTATCTAACATTTATAAAGCATAACTTGGGAGAAAATGTGCCATTACAACATGAAATTGTTATTGCAAGTCTGGGTTGCAATCATGAAAACCCAGAGATTTGTAATTACACATCAATTAACTTTTGTAGTAGGTGTCTGCTTAAATGTTAATGTTATAATATCTTATGTTGTCATAGCGTGATCCCTTTACAGACATCCAACATTTTCCTTTCAGACATGTCTTACGCAGCCTTGACTTTGAAATAACTACCAGAAGAGCTGCAATTAAAGTCAGACTTGCCCACCGAACGTCACTGTGATAAACCCAGACTGAAAGCAAGTTACAGGCTATACATTAGACTGTGGCAGCAGAATCAAGGACTAACATTGGATGTGTTTGACCGCCTCCATGTTTTACTTCTGAAGCTTCAAATCTGACTACATGAGACCTCTCCATGTCACAGGGAGTAGCAGCACAACATGGATGATCGCTTACAGATGGAGAGGCAGAAATAAATAAACAATTAAAGGCAAGAAGAGCTTCTGAGTGACTGGGAGGACCGCTGACACCACTAAAGAAATCATAGTGTTCATAGCCCTTAAAAATAAACGCAAACAAGACTGATCTCTGTAGTTCTTCCCGGGGAAATTGTGTTTTTCAGAATTAGGTTGAACGGACTTTGTCAATTTCGAGGTTTCCATTACCTATTTTTGATTAATCTTTTAGTCTTTAAGGAGTGTAAATTCTTTAACGACCTTGTTAGTTTAGAATATTGTAAAAACGTAACTATTTACTGATTCCGTTAATTTAGGTACAGAGTTTTACAGTTTCGCCTATTTAGTTTTGGGACTACGGGACAGTCAATGTAAAGTAAA